GTGTGTGTGTGTGTGTGTGTGTGTGTGTGTGTGTGTGTGTGTGTGTGTGTGTCCGTCCAGACAGGGTGACATAGCTGCTTTTTACTTTTGCCTTTTAATCACGATTTTCCAGTTGTTGGAAGTAGCTAAGTACATTTACTCAAGTAAAGTAAAAAATGTAGGTACTTGTACTTTACAAAGCTACTTTGCAGAATTAGAATATAAATACGAATGTAGCATATACAGTAATTCAAATAAACCCCACTTTTACCAAGTGCAATGATGAACAGATGAATGCATAAATAATTGTAATACAATCATTTAAAATACATTGTGCTTAAAATCTGCACGAGTTGGTACTTATAGTATATTATGAGGCTAATACTTTTGTACTTTTACTTGTGACTGAGTATTTTTACATTGTAGTATTTCTTATTTTACTTAATAATCTCTACTTCTTCCACCTCTGAAGATTTCCTTTTTCCATTTCGGCCATTATGAATCCACAAAAGCCATCATATTTATGTAGTTGAATTCTTGTCCCAATATCTTCAAACACAGTGTTTACAGGAAATAAAAACAGTGCTGCACGCTCATGAGACTTTATGAAGAGTGTGCAGATTTCCTGATAGAAAGCCATTTTCTCCAACGGCCTGGAACATATCCAAGTTGAGCCGAAAGGTCAGCTTTAATAAACACTCAAAGTAATGTTTACATATATGAAAAACCAGAAACGCCGCTGCTGGAACACGCAACAGGCAGCCTGGACATTTCATCTGCTATGGGGTCATATGTGTAAACAGGAAGTGCAAACATGTCCCATATGTGGGTGACATGACATGCAGGATGTGCAAATGAAGTAAAGCTCTCATCTAATGGCCACTGTTAATAATGCAAACAGTATGCGGCTGATAAAAGGCCATTTCAAATCCAGAGTGACTTCTCTCCCTAGCGCTTTCTAATCTTTTTTATCTTGGGCTAGCTGTGAACAGGAAATGCAGTTTATAAATAGCTCTCTCAGTTCTTGCTCGGAGCAAAGACAGGCCTCCGGTTTAGCTGCAGCTATTGAGGGCAGTTTGTCCATGACCGCTCCCATGAATATTCAGTTCAGCGATTATGGCAAAAATCATAATCACGATTATTTGGGTCAATAATTGATATCATGATTATTAAATACGATTATTCATTGACTTTGAAAAAATCAATTTATTGAACTTTAAAACAAATACAAATAATAATTTGAACAGTATCGTTTTAACTGTTGATTACCCTGAATGTATAATTCAACTGAAAAACCAATACAAAAATAAATAAAATAAATGATACATTTATATTTACATTTAAATAAATAATATCAAAATAATAAATACCAATAAACAAGATCAACAAATATTTTGGAGCGCACTTCCACAAGCTACTAAACATATATAAATATGATAAATACAAATAAATTAGACCAAAATTAATTAGATCAAATATGTTGCAGTGCACTGTCACAACCTCGCAAAGCAAAATAATCGTTTTTTCCGATTATGTTGTTTTCGTAATTGTGGCAGGCCAAAATCGTAATTGCGATTAAAATACGATTAATTGCACAGCCCTAAGTTCAACTCAAACTAACTCTAATATAGATTTATTTTAAATATATTTAAGTGTCACAGAGCTGATGCTGTCGGGCTTTGGACTCCTCATTGAGAGAGGAAGTGAGTGAGACACTTCTGCTAACCTTTTCTTCCATTATGAGACGATTAGGTTATTTTTAGCAAATTCCTTGTAATTTGCTGAATGATTGCTTTTCGTATCACTAAAAATAGGTGGGAATCTTTTTGTTTTATTGCTTGGTAAACATTTTTACATTTCTTTTATACTATTTCCCAGAAGCAGCACAAAACATTACAAGACCAAAACATATCATCATGGTTGGCCTTCTGCTCTCCACATTCCCACCAGCAAACAAGATTGAACAGTTTGATCCTTGTGCATAGCCATTGACAATTTTACTATTTTTTTGCCTTAAATATACAGAAAATATATGCATTTTGTGTTTTTACTGTTCATAATGAACTTTATGAAGTGACATTTTTTTCATATTTACTTAATTTGTTCATTTAACAAATGAATATCTTCCATGTGTTTTCTTCCCAGTAGTTTTAATTGTTTGTGTTATGAATACTTTTGAAAATGTGTTCCCAATCTGCTATTGGTATATTGCAGGAGAGTTCATTTTCCTATTTATTCTTTACATTGATAACACTAAGTTCATCATGATTAAAGTACACATTTGAAGCAACAGCACTCTCTATGTCATGCTTGATACTGTATTCCTTCTAATACCTGGAACACGGTTTGTTATTTCAGTGGATTAATGCCAAGGGGCGTCTTAAGGGATATAAAATACAAGAGATAGGAAGCAAGAAATGTACTGTTCTCGCCTGGATTGGACTTTGTGACGTCTCGGTCACATCTGCTTGTAATCCTATCATTCCTTTTATGAGAGAAAATCCCCTTCCTCCTCCTCCTCCTCCTCCTACTCCTCCGCACCAGGTGGATCTCTGAGTGAAACAACTGCAGCCACAGCCTCTCTGTCTAAGCCTTCTGCATGTCTAAGGGTGACTTGTAAATGTAAAAATGTGTTCGGTTACATTTACTAGCTACCTGTAAAAAAAATGTATTCAGTAACATAATCTGAGTATCAAAATATCAAAGTAATGTAACCTCTCTGTTACGTTTGGATTACCTCAATATCATCTACAACGCAAATTAATACAAGAGAAAATTAATTGCAATACTGAAGTGTTTGATGTTAGACAACAGTAATACCAGAGGTGGGAGAAGTACTGCTTTCAAAATGTTGCTCAAGTAAACGCACAAAAGTATTGAAACACATGACCACATACTACAGTTTAAAAAAGCAGAAATATAATCTGAGCTGACACACAATGCTCCGTTTAACTTTAATACACACAGTAAAGGTCACACACACTATTTTATGAACATATGGGTTTTTTATTTTAAAATGTTCTGTATTATAAACACAGTAGATTCAAGATTCAAGGCTGTTATTGTCATGTGTGCATAGCTACAGTGTTAGGACAATGACAATCTTAGGTCACAGGCTCCTCCAACAGTGCAACACAATAACACAGATAATAGTGCAAGTAAATAAAATAGAATATAATAGAAATTGTGCAGAATAGTCTACAAGTAATTGGAATATTGATATATATAAGTATACGTTAAAACAAGATGAATGTTATGGATGTTCTTTCAAAAGGCACAACATGGAAACCTTGAAATGAGTATAATATGTCCTATTGAAAGCAGTTTCTTTGGCAAGTAAAGGTTGAAGGCCATGTGTTAGCGCCCTAAAGGATGCTTGAGGTAGTTATGGTAAAGCTCTGTGTGCCATCTGTCGCGTCTCTGCAGCCTCCGTGCTCACACACTGCTCGCTGCTCTCTGTCAGGGCGTGCTGCCCCCCAGGGTTCAGGGACGTTGCCGTATCTAGGACCCTCTCACTGGGACACATTTATAAATAGATAATCGAATTTGTACGCTAGAGTGGCACGATGAACTCTGTCAATGTCGGCGCACACAGAAATGCTACAACACGTCTATACCAAGCTGTGAATGACACACAGAACACCTCCTGCGTGCTCATTTGACTTCAATATAAACTGTAGATGTGTCCTTAAATGGCCATTCAGAGCAGTGGCAATAAGAGATGATACTGTTTGTATTAATCACAAATCATTGTGAAGGTTTTGTTCAACACGCAATCTAAAGGATGTTGGATTGCATGACTGTTGAGTAATTTAGTTAAAACTAATTTCCTGATGCTCAATAATGATATGAGCTATTTACCAGAAAAATCTCTCACTGAAGTATCTTGTCCATAATCCAATCTTTTGGCTTTTAAGAAGACATCGACAACGATAAACTATCAAAAAGATTAATCTTAGGCAAGTTTCCACTGTGGTCCACAGAGCCAACACGCACCAAGGTGTGGTTGCTGTTATTCAGGGACATCTACTTTGCATTAGAGAACCTTTCAAATGAATGAACACCTCACTGTTCGGAAAAAACCTGAGCACCAATTCTTACCAAGACTAATCACAGATATAAACACATTTTGCTATATTAAAGAGGACATTTTCAGGTGCATATTTGTATTTTGCACTGTGACATGTCTCCATGCTTTAATGTTCAAAAAGCTCTTTGAGGGTGGAGAGTGTGTGGGAGAGAAACTCTGGGAACTTTTAGCCTTTACAGATCATGTACATGCACACAAACCTATATAACACACTACAGGAAAGAGAGAAGCCCCAAAAGCACAATAGGTCCTCTTTGAGTAGAAAGTTTGAGCTACTGTGTGCCATGTTTGTCAAGACATAGCTCTCGGAGACCCAGTGTTAAATAAAGTCACATCTGGATACTCTGTCAGTCTCTTGAAGCCTTCTAAAGCTGCTGGAATCACTGAATCCCTTCAGAGGCGGCCCGCAATACCAGAGGTTTTATAAAAAGACGCTAATTAGATTCTGAGCACTCAAGAGTAATCATCAACGTGGGTGTGTGGCACAGTTGGTGTGCGTTGGTGTTCAAACCCCACTGTAGTCAGCATGTCGTTGTGTCCCTGGGCAAGACACTTCACCCCAAATGACTCCTGTGGGGATTGCCCACAGTATTGAGTATGTAAGTCGCTTTGGATAAAAAGCGTCTAACAAGTAACATGTAATCAACTCTCTTGTTTCAGAAATGTTTTATAAAATGACACAGATAAATCATGATGTAGGACATGTGTTTAATTATTAAACATGTTCTTACTGATGTTTGGGAGGGTCTTTATACTGTGACATTTGAAATCTTTTTTTTTAACAGGAATACGTTATTAGGGTTGTTTCACTGCTCTCTTGGGTTGTTCGATTTCTGTTCATTGATCACGTGGAAGCACATCTCCAACTAATAAACACGGCCGGAAGAGAAGCTATTGATTTACTGACTTTGATCTCATTTTCTCTTTGCAGATTGAAAGCTCTGGTTTCCACAGGAGGGAAAAACGTGCAGGCAGCTTGTGACTGGTGAGAGCAACACACACTTTTACACACACCGTCCCACACGGTTATTAATGCACACACACACCCTCTTGTAATTGTAACTATAACATGAACTGACCTCACCCCTTAACATCGTCACTAACAGTGCTGCCCTCTGCTGGACGTCAGCTGCCCCTCTCTCCCTATTATTTTTCACTTCTTAACTTCTTAGTTTTTTTATCCAGGAGAACCTTCTGTATTCGTAAATGGATGAACATATTTAGATAGAAAATGACATAACCAATGATTATATACTGTCCTCACTTCAATTTTCTTCCCCTTGCCACTAAACTGAAAACATATCTTCCAAAAATGCTTCCATCTCAACATTTCTCCAGTATTTTTTGAATTCTTAATGACATGGTGCTTTATAGAGAGGCGAAGTCCCGCCCATCTACTTCCGACCCATGGGACCTTATTTCGGAAAAATTATGTTATTGAAGTCAATGGAGAGAGAAAGATTATCTCTCGATCCCGTTTGAATTGTGCCACAAATTACACATATGATGTTTGTCAATCTTAAATAATTATTTCCATGTCAAAAAAGTCACAGTTTGTCGTAAAACTGTTGAAATATAAGACTATGAAAAATACGCAACTAGAAAGACTACAAATCCCAGAATCCCGGTCCCGCATGCTGGCTCTTACAAACCGACTAACTCCCCTTGTGTGTATGTACAGCTCTCAACATGCCCAGACTTGGAGTGATTTTCACGTCTTTTAATACTTTCCGCCTCATTCTGAAAGAAAGAAGTGAAATGTGCCAACGTGACGGCCGTCCTGGTGTGTGGTGCGAGACGGGAGATGTAGGTCATTGAGCGGTTTCACACAAAAAAAAGTGTTACTTCACAGTTTTACGACACATTTTAATTTTTTTGACTTGCAAAATTATCTTTTAAATTGACAAACATCATATGTGTAATTCGTGGCACAATTCAAACGGGATCGAAAGATAATCTTTCTCTCTCCTTTGACTTCAATACATACTTTTTCAGAAATAAGGTCCCATGGAGGTCCCCCGGAAAGGGAGGGACTTCGCCTCTCTATAGAAAGTCAATAACAATTGTGCAATATTAGAAAAAGCCCCACAGTTTGCTAAGCTAATTTATTCCTTATTTATTTAATTTTCTTTTTTTCTTTTCAATACACAAACATTTATGCCTTTTCCTGATGTTTTTTAATCTGTTGTTTAAAAAGGAAAAAAAAGTCTAAGTGTATATAGACTTATATATTAGATTAAAGGAAAGCACACGATATAAAAAATATATATAAATGAGAAACAATATGTACACTATGGTAAGAAAATAAGCAGGTAGCAGGTAAGTGAATATATAAAGTATTAAAGGAGCCTTTCATGTTAACAGATTGTAAATAAATAAATAGTTTAGTAAGAAAATGTGTTGTTGTGCGATTTTTGTTGTTGTTTTTTTAAATAAAAATAAGTATTCTTGCTCAGCAGTGATGGTACAGTCTGTACTTGTGTTAGTAACTCACTGTCTTCCTGTCCTTGCTCCAGGCTCTTCTCCCACGTAGACGACCCCTTCCTGGACGACCCTCTGCCCAGAGAGTATGTGTTGTATATGCGCCCCAGCGGAGTCCTCCTCCAGCAGCTCTCTCACTTCTGGCAGCAGTCCCGCGTCTCCTGTGGAAAGAACAAGGCCCACAACATCTTCCCCCACATCACCCTCTGCCAGTTCTTCATGGTCAGTGTCTCTCAGTGCTCACGTTATAGGTTGTTTTTCTCTCACAGACACAACATAAATAGGACAAACATGGAGAAGCATCCACAACTGCACCTCTTGTACATCAGGGTTCATCGTTCATGCCCTCCTTGGACACTAAAAGGACATACACTTTCTTGATGCTATCTATATTGTGCAAATTATTTTTGTATTTTTCTTAGTTTTTTTGTTGTTTTATTCTCTGTCAAAGCGTCTTTGAGTTTTTAGAAATGCGCTATATAAGTGTTGTGGGGGAAACTTCTGTGTAGCAATGCAGGAGGACTCAAAGGAGACACGGGGAGAGCTGGAGCTTTGATGGCAAACACTGATGGGTTTATTTGGAGCTTCGGCCGGAGAATTCACAAAACAAGTCAAAGAGTCAGAGGTTCTGACTTCACGGTAGAGTTGCCACGTCAATTCTGAAGATCTCTACCCCAGACCCGTGTATTTAGCTAGTGCAGAGAGAATAATCAACATTGAGCATAACAAGATAGAATCATAACACCTCTATCAGCTGACGCCAACAGGCAGGAACAGGGAGACAAAACACTGAGAGCACAGCAGCCAAGGTTACAGGTGCGTGTGCTCAGTCAGGACAGTAACTGATCAACTGGGTCAAAGTTATGGGCTTTGGAAAATATTTCCCCAACAAGTGTCATGTATTATTATTATTATTATTATTATTATTATTATTATTATTATTATTATTATTATTATTATTATTATTATTATTATTATTATTATCAACATATTACAGACATTATCACTCCCCCTCATCAACAAAATGATCACACAATACCTGAAGCATTATGATAGTAAGAACCAGTGCTTTACCATCTAGAAGTGCAGTGAATACAAATAAATGAAAAATAAATAAATACATCTATAAGTTGTACAATAGCTGCCCATTGCTCCTGTTACGAGGATGGGTTAAATTAAGAGGTCAACTTTCACTGTGTGTGGTGTGTGCATGCACATGTGTGACCATTAAAGAGGGTCTCATCCTCCGATTCTCAAAAAAAAGAACAAGGCAAGTTTATTTATATGGCACTTTTCAACACAAGGCAATTCAAAGTGCTTCACAAAAATGAAAGACATTAAGAGCATAAAACACATTACAAACATTACAAAGCAAAGACATGAATAACTCAGGTACATGAATAAAAGTTACAGTGCAGTGTGAGATGTGAATAGTTCAATTAAAAGCAGCGGCAAAAAGAAAAGTCTTCAGGATGGATTTAAAAGTAGTCAGAGTTGCAGCGGACCTGCATGTTTCTGGGAGTTTGTTCCAGATATTTGACAATATCCCGAACCAAATTCTCACATTGCTCTACCCCTAGTCTTCCTGTGAAATTATAGTTCTTTTGAAACCTTTTTATATTCCTTTCATCCATTTTGAACACATTTCCCTGTTACCTGAACCCATCTTTGACCTTTAAACCACTTTTCTTTTCAATATTCAGAATTAGGATATTTAACCCTAATGACTTCTTCTGTTGTTTAGTGTGCCGATGGGAAGGTGGAGGCTCTGACCGAAGCTCTGCAGGCAACCGTGGCCAAGTGGAAGGGTCTTATCCCCATGCCCCTCCCTCTGGAGCTCTACACCTCCTCCACCTTCATCGGCCTCTTTGTGGAGGAGCAGATGGCCGAGGTGCTGAAGACTTTCGCCTTGGACTTTGCCACCGAAGCCACAGCTAAAGCAGGTTAGAGACCACCCATGTCTCTGTGATGGAAATACTGTCTTTACAGGGGGAACTGCTCCTAAACATCAAATACAAAGTAAAAGAAATTAAGCAACTTACATGCGAAGTTTGGGGAGAAGGGGCATTAACCTGAAAATGGTGTACAATAGGACAACAATGGGATAGGGAATTAATAAGTATTGTGTAAACCCTAACCCTATTATTTATTTTATATTTTATAATGATTATTTTTATTTTTATTCAATTTTTTTTTTTAATTATTCTTCCCTAATACTTCTCTATTTGTTTATTCCTACTTAAAATTCACTTCTTCTTTTACTGAGTACGTGTACACTTTTTATTTAAATATGTATCACCCGAAAAAGAAAGATACATGCAGACAGTTGTGAATTTACAGCATATCCTGTAACCATATTTTAGCAGTTTCCCCAGACCATACATTTTCAGTGTATTGAATATAGTAGGCCATAGAATGGAAACAATACTTCATTGTCATGAGTATACATATACAAACATCTGCTGTGCACATTTCTCTCTTTGCTTTGTCCAGATGTTCACGTCGAGCCTCATAAGAAACAACTTCATGTCACGTTGGCGTACCACTTCCAAGCCAGTCACCTTCCTAATTTGGAGAAGTTGGCCAAAACGGTGGAGGTGTCTTCAGGCTGCGACTGGCTGGCCGTGCTCTACTCCCGGGACATTCGCTTTGCTAATCATGAGGTAGAGTTGTTTCCTTTGAAAATGACTACTTCCTCTTGAAATGTGTGTTTTGTGTGTGATATTTGGCCAAATAAATGTTGCTAAATCCAGGGGTGGGAAGTAGTGGAGTACAAACACTTTGTTACTGTTCTTAAGTACATTTTTCTGGTATCAGTACTTTACTCCACCACTTATTTTTCTGACGACTTTTTACTTTTACTTCTTACATTTTCCAAACAGGCTGGTTCCTTTAGTTTGAATGTGTGTTTGGTGGCGTGATCATTATTATTTAGAGTCATTGCGTGCCTATTGATTTGAACACGATCCGTGTATCCATCATTTCCTGGTCTTCTCTAAAGAAGAGGGACCAATGAAAACGCTGTCATGTTGCCGTTGTTCAGCATGGAAACATTCATTAGCTAACAATGACATTATTGTTCTATTAATATAAAGGGAGGTCAGGTACTCTTTAAAACAGCTGCTAGTTATGGGTACTTTTTACTGAAGTACATTTCAAAGCCCATACTTCTTTACTTTTACTTGAGTAAAGAAGTTTAGTCAGTACTTCTACTTTTACCAGAGTATTTTTAAACACGAGTATCTGTACTTCTACTTGAGTAAAGGATGTGAGTACTTTTGCCTGGCTAAATCCCTGAAATGGCTTCCCTCTAATGGCTCTTTTCACCCCCTGTAGACGCTGCAAGTCATGTACCCGTACGTGCCTCAGAATGACGACGAGCTGGAGCTGGCGCAGGGAGACTTCATCTTCATGTCCCCTGTGGAGCAGAGCAGTGCCAGTGAGGGCTGGGTGTTCGGTACCTCGCTGGGCACGGGGCTGTCCGGCCTGTTGCCTGAGAACTACGTCAACCGCGCTGATGAGTCTGACACCTGGGTCGTCCACGGGTAAGAAAAGGAAGCGGGGTAAATCCATCGCCATGTGTTTCTTGCATTTGCAAAATTCTCCGGAGGAGCTGGGAGGCCCTGGGATGAGGGTTAGACTGATAAAGCGCAAATACAGTAGAAAAACAGACGTAGCATATTATCACTGATTGCCCCTCAAAGCCACAAAGACATCAGTGGGTGTTATCTCATTACATTTACATTTCATTTAGCTGACGCTTTTATCCAAAGCGACTTAAAATAAGTGCATTCGACCAAGAAGATACAAACTAGAAGAAAACAGAATCATATAAGTACATCAGGTTTCATAGAGCCAAAACATTTTAAGTGCTACTCAACAGGCTTTAGATAAGCCAGTCCTTTGTTAGTATATAAGTGCTTTGTTAGTATGTAAGTGCTTTTTATTTTGTTTAGTTTTTTAGTTTTGTTTTTTGTTTTCTGTTTTTCATTTTATTGCTCGAAGTGGAGTCGAAAGAGATGAGTTTTCAGTCTGCGCCGGAAGATGTGTAAGCTTTCTGCTGTCCTGATGTCAATGGGGAGCTCATTCCACCATTTTGGAGCCAGGATAGCAAACAGACGTGTTTTTGCTGATGGGAACTTGGGTCCCCCTCGCAGTGCGGGTGCAGCGAGCCGTTTGGCTGATGCAGAGCGGAGTGCACGTGCTGGGGTGTATGGTGTAACCATGTCCTGGATGTGGGAAGGGCCAGAACCATTCACAGCATGGTACGCAAGTGCCAGTGTCTTGAAGTGGATTCTAGCAGTTACTGGAAGCCAGAGAAGGGAGCGGAGGAGCGGTGTGGTGTGGGAACATTTAGGAAGGTTGAAGACCAGACGAGCCGCTGCATTCTGGATGAGCTGCAGAGGTCGGATGGCACATGCAGGTAGACCAGCCAGTAGGGAGTTGCAGTAGTCTAGGCGTGAGATGACGAGAGCCTGGACCAGAAGCTGCGTCGCTTTCTGGGTCAGGAGGGGACGTATCCTCCTCAAACTGACAATCCACAGATCCCTTTAATGTGTGTTCTCTACAGTTTAAGCACAGATGCACAACGTTTCTACTAAGCTGAATGCAAAGATTAAAGGGAAAATGAGTCATCTTCCTCTTTTCTAAAACTGTCTTTGAACAGGTTGTGTTTCCTCCCTTGCTCTACCCATTTATTCTTCACTATATTCATATTTTCAAGGCACGTAAACACACTTTACTCACTTAATTTGATCTGTGCCTTGCTTATTCCTGTGTTTCCTTACTCTCATATGACTGTACCGGTGTGTTGGTTGTCTGCTAATGTTCCTTCTCTTCACTGTGGATAATGAGTGCTATTTTTAAACGGCTATTTGAATAAAATGGAGTCCTCTGTCTGATCCTCAGGTCTCACTCCGTGCTCACCAGTGCCTCTCCGTCTAACTCCGGCAGCAGCGTGGCGGGGTCATTGTTTGACGGACAGCTGAACGACAGTCTGTTTGACATGGATCCTCCCGGCCTTACTGGCCTCTGTCCTCCTATGCAGGTATTCAGCACTCCTGTATTATGTGAATAATACTCCCTATGGCTTACAGGCTGCATGCTAAATGACAATTCTCTCTGAAGTGTTTGCACCGGTACAAGAGGCAACCTTTGGTAGAGGGTAATGAAACCAACCCACAACAGTGTCCTTTTAGACAGTAAAAAAGGGACATGTATAGTAAAAGTACAGTTTAACTAACAAAATATGCTGTATTTATTCAACTTAATTATAAAAAATTAAGCAAGTAGCTGAAGAAATGTCGGGCAAGTATTCTGAAGTATGAAATAATAGTATATTATTAACTGAAACATGACATAGCTTAGTATGTACCTTTTATAAACCTAATGTCCTTGTTTTTCCTCACAAATTCATAACAAATGCGTGCATCTGTATTATATATGACCATATCATGACCCAACTATCATTGCGTCCTGTAACTGCATCCTAAAATGAATTAGTTCAAGCAGACATCCATTATAAATGTTCCCAACTCTCAGAAATGCTAATAATTTGACTGTAACTGCCTGCGGCTAGTGCTGATCATTTGCATACGAAGAGACCAATTTTGCTGCAAATGCATATTACCTAATTTAAATATGTGCAAATAGCAAAGGAGCCCCAAGATACTTTTTGCCCAGCAGTGAAGTTAGGGATGCATTAAAGCAAATTATTATTTTGTCTTTTTACACAGGTTTAGCAGCCCCAAAAGCAGCACAGTCCTTTTGTCAATTCCTCTTTGAGTGTGTTAAAAACGAATTATAACTGTATGCTTGTAGCATGAAATAAAAAAGGCCACATTATGCTTTTGGGGGTTTTCCCTTTCCTGTAGTGCAGGGGTGTCAAACTCAATTTCATCGCGGGCCACATTAGCATTATGGTTGCACTCAAAGGGCCGGTGGTAACTATATAAATAGACATATATAAATATATAATATATATAAAATAATGTATTATATGACATTATTGCCTCTGAATTGGATTATTATCGGATAGGGTAATAACTTAGTAATTAACTACGTCTGAAAGCAGAAGTCCAGGGCAAATAATTGCAAGTTTCTTCAGTGGCATGTCACAAAACGAGATGCATTGTGGGACATGTAGTTTATGGGCAACCTGCTTCTGTAAAGTGGCATGTAACCGTATAATAAACTTATTATATTCTTTGCAAGCTCTTGCGGGCCACATCAAATGAAGTCGCGGGCCGGATTTGGCCCCCGGGCCTTGAGTTTGACACCCCTGCTGTAGTGTGTTATATGGGTTATTGTGCATTTAAATGGTCTGCAAAAGAGGGAGTTTCTCTCCCACACACTCCCCCCTTTGCCTGATTCACCTCCGTTAGACTCCTTTGTTTACTTCTGTAACATAATTACATCACTATGTAACTCTTGTGGTTCTATTGGCTTTATTTATATTAGATTTAAATTGAATCTTTTTCTCAGGTGTTGAGGCCAACCTGTCAGTCTTCCCTTTCCAAGATGAGACTGTTTGTGTGTCGCCATGGCGAGAGGATGGACGTGGTGTTTGGGAAAAACTGGGTCTCTCAGTGCTTTGACGCCAAAGGTAAGCATGCAGGGGGATGTTAATTGCACATTTTTGAGTTGAGTATTTCCTTCTTCAGTAAGATCCTCATTTGTGTTTGTGTAGGCCGATACATTCGCTCCAACCTCAACATGCCGTCCAGCCTGCCAGCCAGAAGTGGAAGTTACCGGGACTACGATAAAGATTGTCCAATTACTGTGTTCGGCTCCACCCAGGCCCGACTTGTAGGTCAGTACATATGAAGTAAAGTACATTTTATCTTGTTGAAAAGTTACTATAGTTTGAAGGGTTGTTGAATACAGTAAAGGGTACACTTTAAATGTATTTTGGTCTATTTCAGGTGAAGCTCTGTTGGAAAGCCACACAGGAATAGACTTTGTTTACTGCTCTCCTTCTCTTCGCTGCGTCCAGACTGCTCAGAACATTCTGCAGGGTAAGACCAAGTTAATATTCTCACGGCAACATCTATTCAGTTTCTTAACTGCCATGATGTTATACTCACATGTCAGAGCTGATTTCAGAGCTACTGCTGCACGACAATGTTGGACTATTAGTGTTAGTTTTGGATCTGAATCTTTAAGATTTGCGCACATCCAATACGAATTTTTCTATAAACATTTAATAAATTATTAGCAAAAAAAACTGATAGGAAAAATGTTGGGGGGTTTACGGAAGGTATATATCTTTCCCATACTTACTTCCTTTGACCACAGAAAAACACTTACTTCATGTTTTCTTTTTTATCCTTACTGTATTTCTTCATGTTAACAAACATAGGACCAAAACTATTACTTTTTGCACAAAGTCTTACATTTTATGTGAAAAAGTATTCGTATATTTCCCAAAAAACTGAGGTGAGTGACATTACTTAATAGATGTAGAGATATTTCAATGTTCTCTCTATGTTTCACTGTATGTTAGGTCTCCAGCAGGAGACAAAGACAAAAATCCGTGTGGAGCCTGGGTTGTTTGAATGGACCAAGTGGGTCTCAGGCACAAGTTTACCCGTGTGGATCCCCCCAGCTGAGCTGGCTGCTGCTAACCTGAATGTGGACACAACGTACAGGTACACCAACCCTAAAGCATCACGACACCTTCATCTGTGATTCTACAATTTAATTCTAACCTCTTATATATATTGTTTTGTCCCCAGACCTCATATTCCCGTAAGCAAGTTGACAGTATCAGAAAGCTACGACACCTACATCAGCAGGAGCTTCCAAGTAACCCGCGAGATCCTGACAGACAGCAAAAACCTGGGTAATGGAGTACAAATTCTTGGCAGCATTCACTACAATGCCAGCTCTTTTATTGAGATGATTACACTTAAATGCTTCCCATTCTTTCTGTGCATAATGCAATCTCTGGAGGCCACTTTACACTGAGCATGAGCTAATGAAATCAAAACTAAACAATGGGCTCCTGCCTTGATGGCCTTAAACAAAGAAAAATGCACCTGACGCTTAACACTCTATCATAAGGCCTTGAGACGGAATAGTGTCACACAATAGGCACTTTGTTTTGACTCTGCTGGCCTTCTCAATCAAGATGTTTGATTTGGATGTGGGCCAAATCTCAAAATAAAAGGCAATGCATTAACGAGCCTGAACATTTTTCAAGCTGTATATCATCATCTGCTGAGTGCCCATAAACAAACAGTATAGAAGCTTATGCATATCTGTGGAATACTTTTCTTTACCTCTTCCACACAGGAAACACGGTCCTGATTGTGGCCCATGCTTCCTCCCTGGAGGCCTGCACTCGTCAGATACAGGGCCTCAGCCCGCAGAACTCCAAGGACTTTATCCAAGTTGTCCGAAAGGTCAGTCCGCGCTTAACTTAAAACAAGGGCTGTACTCAATGTTATTTAAAAAAACTATTATAAATTGAATCAGAAAAAATTGCTTGGTAATAACTTGTTGTGAATTTTGGAATATTACGTCATTTAATTACAACATTCTGGGGTTAAAGGGGCCCTATTATGCTTTTTGGAGTTTTCCCTTCCTTTCCGGTTTTTGTGCATGTAAATGGTCTGCTAAGGCTAAAATCCCAAAATTCCCTACAGAGGGAGTTTCTCTACCACACTCCTGAAACGCCTCTATTGGACTTCTATGTTTACTGACAGAACATTATGACATCACTAAGTAACACTCGCGCTTCTATTGGAAAGCGCTCCAACATATTGTACGTGATAAGCTAAAGGGCGGGACTTCTCTAAGCGGTTAACCAATCACAACAGAGCTGGCCAGCAAACCAATCAGAGCAGACTGGGCTCTGGTTTCAGACAGAGGGTGAAAAGAGGTGCTGAAGCACAGGCTGTATGAGAAAAATAAAGAGCTTTTTGAACATTAAAGCTTGTTAACATGTCACAGTAGAGACACTAAATACTAATATGAACCTGCAAATTAGCACAATAGGGCCTATTTAACGTTTATATTGAAGAAGATTCAAACCATTTGGTACAGCTCTAGTTACAACACCTTGTTCATTTGTATCCCCTTCTCATCTTTTTGTCTGTGATAACACACACATCTGTCTTCTCTCTTTGCAGATTCCTTACTTGGGTTTTTGTGCTTGTGAAGAATTGGGAGAGACCGGGGTGTGGCAGCTGGTCGACCCGCCCATCTTGCCTCTGACACATGGACCCAATCACAGCTTCAACTGGAGGGAAATGCTAATGCAAGACTGAAGGATTTGCTCTTTGGCTCTCTTATCTTTTGGTGACCCTGAACTGCTGAAAGAAATATTTATTTTTAACCCACTCTGCTCTAAATCCAGCCCAACTACCAAAAAAAAGGAAAGAAGAAAAACCACGTCTGGCTTCCTTCAAAGATATCATGCAAAAAAATAAATGCATTTATTGAAGCAAATGTATTCAGACACACTGCTCAGGAATGAGAAAAGCCACAGATAGAATGGCAGTTTGGTGTTTTGAGAATTGTGGATATTTCTTAAGACTTGCTGATGAATCAGGTTTATTGCCATGAAAAAAGACGTTAAGTCTGTGACTCCTCTTCAGGCAGGGCGGTGAAGACTTTGTGTTTTGCTGCCTTCACACACACTGTGACAAGAAGTAGACGAGAAAGACTTCCACCACAGAAATATTTTTCCATGTGTCAGAAATTATTATTTAACTTGTAGCTAAGACCCTCCCGCAAAAAAAAAAAAAAAAAGCACAAAAGAAATGTTGACAATCAGACAGGGGAAAACTGATCTTCATTGTTTCTGGTGCCGAGATGGGTGGTTTATGATTCCTGTAAATGTCATATCATTAAGTGATTTTCTCTAAGTTAACATTTAATTGCCAACATGAATAGTTTTACTTTCCTGCAATGCAGTTTTATTACCACCACAGGAGCAACCAAGGCTTAAGAAAATTAATATAATTTAATACAGACCGCTTTTGGGTGCATTGACTAAAATATTTGCTTGTTAATCACAGCAGCACTGTTGAATTTCATGTTTTTTGTTATGTCAGATGATTTAAATGCTTACTGCCTATACCAACTGTTTGTTATTTGAGTCAAAACGTCTATTGATACTCTCAAAAATGAATAAAGCAAGGATGTGGTGATATGAAGGCCTATACATATAAGCCTGTGCCATGTGTTCTGTAAAAAATCACTTCTTTACATAAGATATTAGTGAGAATTAAGTAGCTCTTAATTTTTGGTACTGTTTTACACAAATAGCTTTGCAGTTGTTTATTAAATAAAGATATGCAGGCATTGCAATGAACAAAGAGATAACTCATTTAACGACAATCTTGTGTTAATGTGCTGTTTATGCCCGACTTAACATTGACAATCTTATTTTACTTTACAGAGCACCAGGTTGCACTAATTGTCACATTCAAAGCAGTAGTAGGAGTATTTAAAACATGTCTGGAGCCTCTGTACTATTCAGTGTTCGAAAGAGACATCATGCACAAAACCAGTCCCTCCATTGAGTGCATCATTAATCATCATTAATCTTATTAAATGCACCTGTGCTTTTGCTGCAATAATGGCAACATATCCTATTGGACTTTTAGTGAGTAGTTATATTCAATAATTCAGATTTATAAGGTAATATTGTTAATGATACATTCAGAATACTGGCTTTAGGTGTTTTTGCAAGATTTGGCCTTCTTTGTCAGGCTTCTCTGTCTGGATCTCCAACAGGAAAGACTTTCTCTCCTCAAGGAAGAAGCACGTTTGGACAGTTTGGACCCTGAGGTGGATTCACAGCTTTAAGTGAGTCTAGGAATATAGAACATCGCTATGAAAACTGCACAAAGCGTTTACTTGTGCGATAAATTAACATACAAGTTATGCTGCTTTAGTGAGACTTATTTTGGCTAACTAGTTAGCTAACAGTCACAAGCTAAACGTTATCCTCCTAGCCCGTCTCTTGCTAACTCAGGTAAGGGATTTTTTGTTCGCGTGTCTGCTGAAACCCTAACCTCAACAAGTGAGTTACCCTTTCAATGTATTAACTATAAAGGTATGACAACAAGCACCTGTAACCTGTGTAGCTAAGTGGTAGCATACCAGTTGGACATTTCTAGCTAACGTCACAGGTGATGAGAGAGAAGCTGATTTAGCCACACCAGTATTACACTGTTACAGCACCTTGTCTCAAGCTGTTGATTGTGTTGTATAGTAAAATATGATAATCAAAACAAGCAAATATTACATTAAAGGTTTACACAATATATAATTGTAATAATACTTTAGAAACACTGCCTTTTAACAATGCTCTTGATACTTTTACTTAGACTAGTAAGTTATGTGGCTGTATTTGAACACTTATATTGACCTAAATCTTGCTGCTTAAGTTTTTAGAGGATATGCAATTCATAATTAGCCTAAAATACAACTAGGATTTGACAAACAAAAGGCAAAAGTGTTAAATGTACCAGAGCAAATTCTCTCTTTCAGGGCATGCAGTCATGTTAGACTTGTTAACAAAGAAGACATAATACTATATAAAGTATAACAGTATTATAATGTATTCAGAATTGATTATGAAGGAACCTTTTGTGTACTAAAATGTTGACAACAGTACATATCCTACAAAATCTGCTCACTAATGCATATTCACAGACTAAGTGTGAAACAAAACAAACACTAGGTGGTGCTGCTCGATGACCAATATCAGTAATAGTTCCTGCAGAGACCTTCACACTTATACTATACAGCTAAACTCTTCCATGGGGTTATGTGCACTAAAATTTGTGTTTTTCTCAGATAGAAACATTTAAAAAAGGTAAAATATTTTCATAAAATAAAAAGGTTAATGTGGTATTGTGTATAGTTTTGACCCCGTGATTTTGACTTTTTCATCAAATATGATACACAGTGATGAGAAAACTCTACGTATACTTTTTGGTTACTTTGTTTGGTTTTAAACAAGACCACATGGTAGATATGGTATATTTCGAAACATGAAACACTCAGAAAATGATTACAGTAATATATATTTTTAATTCTAATGATAAACTCTTAGCTAGTGTGTATGTCTATTAAATCAGTCCTTAGACAACTTTCTAGCAGAGCCAAATGACTGATGGCCACTTACTAATAATACCACTGAAACAGCTGATTCATTTTATAATTTACATGCACTCTTTTTTTGAAAGAGTAACACAAGTGTGGTAGTTATCGGTTAGGTTGATTTACCATTCATCCATGAATCTCCCTGCAGGGGTCAAAGGGCAGTGGCAGCTAGGACAGACATCTCTGCAGGCAGCAGGTAGGTGTTCACTGATGCATTCACTCTTCAACATATCTTGCACTTTGACTGAGAGTGGGTATTTTTTCAGAACACATGACAGTGATACCATTTAAAAAATAGTAGTTCTGCTGCAAATTTGAAGATCTAAAACATCAGTTTATTTAAATGATCTAATTTTAATTTTGGTTTCAATATTCCTACAATAGTCTATGCATAAACAAACATATTTGTAATGTATATATTTATATATATTCAAACTTTAACATTGTTCCTCTTCAAAAACTGATTTACTGATGTGTTTTCTATCATAACTTATCTCTATTTCTGTTTTCCTAATACAGTTTGCATTTAATACACACAGACAAAATATACAATTACAGATAGATATTTTCAAGATATGCAGTCACTCTGCCAGCCCTGAAATAAAATGGCAAAGGTTCATGAAAGAAATGGGACCTGTTCTTCATTTTGAGTGTGAAAAAGGTACGTTTCCGTCTCCCTCCATGGACTGTATTTCGGTGAGTGTTTCAGCAATATTATGACGTCTGACAGTGATTTGAAGTTGATGTCAGAGATATCCAAAAGCTGATTGTAAAGCGTTTGTGACTCACTGCTTCTGCCTTCTGACAACCTTACCCCCCATTGGCTTGTTACTTTGTGAGTTATGCATGTTCAGTTGCATAGGGAGCAACTGTAATATTTTACAGCTGTCATCTGGCATAAGACTCAGGTTAAGAGAAAGTGATTTATCCTAAACCTGACAGATTTTCCTAACGGGCAGCGCAAAAAGTGGCTTAAACCTGCCTTCTGTCAAATGGCCAGCAGGGGGCGACTCCACTGGTTGAAAAGAGAAGTCTGATTCTATAGAAGTCTATGAGACAGTGGTTCTACTTCTCGCTTCTCACTTCTCACTTGTGTTTATGGTTTCTAAAACTAGTTTCCATTCTGCTTCAATACAGCATGTTTCTATTTTGATTGTGGTCCTTTTTAGGCTAAAATAGAATACATATAAAGCAGAGTAAGCTTTAAGGCTTTAAGGATTGACAGGTTTCTACAACAGTGTTGTCTGGTTTGGGTGAACTCATTCCTGTTTTCTTCACACTACGCTGCAGACACAACTCAGACATATTACACCTTATACTGTTAATATGGTGATTGTAATCACAAATAGTTGCCCCTTCAGTCCAAAATTCACTATGGCTGTTTTTTTACTGAACGTACAGCACTTTTTTTAGCCCTGTTATCCCGAACGCTACCTTCTGCTGTGGCACGAAACAGTGTTGATGAGAGCAGTGACAGTCATTCAGTATAGTAGAGTTGTAGAAAATAAAAGGAAAGCATTCATATGAAATGGGAAAACCCTTCTGAGAACTGAACTTTTTTGATCAGCAACATTTGCATGACAGATAGTGTGATGATAATTTGTCATTGTAAAAATATATATTTGAGATGGTGCGACTGTTATACAAATCATTATTAAATGTTTATACATAAATAAGTCACACTTTTCATGCCTCTGGACTGTCAACACCTGTCCCATACTTAAGCAAAGCAATGCAACAAGTGTTTCGGTTGACACGATAAGTTTAGACAATGTAAGATTAGGCTACTTTTATACACGTATACCTGAAGAAGGCTGTGATTAGTCTGTATAGAAGGTTTTTTTTGTGATTACATCTTTTGGCCTTGAGCTAGTCATCCTGACCTCTAATAGGGTTTGACACAGCTGTCACGAGTTAGTGAGACCACTGCATGTTCTCAAGATGGGCAGAGCTGGCTGGAGAATGAGAATATACTGCAGCAGATACAGATGTCAGCCACACAGACAGAGATGCCGTCTATAGGTTGCTTTAATTAGCAAAGTCTCTACCAAATTAACTATCCAGGGCTCTTTTTTTACCCTGGATTTCTGGTTGTCATTTAAATATTTCACTCTAGAAAAGGTACCAAATGGATGACTGACCTTTCTGAAAAGTGAATCATAGCAAGTTCCCATCAGCAAAAACACGTCGGTTTGCTATCCTGGCTCCAAAATGGTGGAATGAGCTCCCCATTGACATCAGGACAGCAGAAAGCTGACACATCTTCCGGCGCAGACTAAAAACTCATCTCTTTCGACTCCACTTCGAGCGATAGAACTACTAACAAAGCACTTATATACTAATAAAGGACTGGCTTATCTAAAGCTAGTTGAGTAGCACTTAACATTTTTTGGTTCTATGAAACCTGATGTACTTATATGATTCTGTTTTCTTCTAGTTTGTATCTTCTTGGTCGAATGCACTTATTGTAAGTCGCTTTGTATCAAAGCGTCAGCTAAATGAAATGTAATGTAATATCAGTTCTGCTTTTAACCCCCTTTAAGCACTGTTGGTCTTTCAACAAATATTAGGCAAGTGAGAGCTAGCAGCAGCAATTTGAGGCCAGCTTTAGCCCAAGGGAGGCATGTAGTAATGTTCCCAAAAGCCTCAGCGGGCCCCTCCCCCCTTGCCTCTTTTTATAAATATGAAATTTCAACACCATTGGCATTGTTGCTTGCTCTGCTGGGTTTGCACGTTGCTAACCGTTAATGCACAGATACTGTGTTCCCACACAGTATTCGGGCGCTTTATGTGAATAAGATGCTGCCGTGACCTTTTTTGCACAGAAATACATTTTGTTTTTCAATGCATCTCTGTGATGATTCAACACGGTTTAGCCTTGACTCTAAATGATTTCGAAACGAGCATAACATGTCTGCTTATAAACAAGATTCTTTAATGAACTTATCGTAAGAAGAAGAGTGGATAAACTAAAAATAAACATGTAAATAATCTGTGATTACCTCTCCCTTGTCACCTCTGTATTACATCACTCCATACAGAGATATCATCAGTG